ATATCATGCACAACAGAAATGTATATCTAAGCAGAATATATCATTTTTATCTAAAATTTGATTTATTTAAATGTAGTTATCAAAATTCAACTATAATTAATCAATGTTTCAAAACGTTTACTTACAGTATCTAAATCAATTTACAATACATTAGTTTTTAGTTCGTTTTAAAATTGTATTGATTAATTATTAATTAAATTCAATCTTAAGCTTTTAATGATTTAGAAAAATAAGAAAAAATATAAGAAAAGTTATATTTGAAAAATTTAATGTGCTCAAATTATAACAGAGAATTATGTACTTGTATTTTAAATAATGCATTATTAAAGCAATTAGATATAATTTCTGTTGAATAGATTACACAACGGTAAACATCTAAATGAAACAATATTCTTCTGACCTGTGATGAATTAAATATTAAATGTAATTAATATAAAGTAACTAATATCACTTTTACAAAATAATGTCCAAGCCATTCACTAACAATAATTCTTGTAACGATATTCAAATGATACTAATAAAATTATCTTAATATTACATCTAAAGAATTATAATAAAGATAAAATTAAATTATTTTATTTATTGTTTAATTTTTTTACTGTCAAATATAAATTAATTTAACGTTGTGATTATTATACTATTGGAAAAATAAAAATTAAGAAGTGAAATATAAAGATTGATTGTTGTATAATTTTTTTCTTAAAAGTATATTTTACTAAAGTTAGCTAGTAGGTGGAATTTGTAAAAATATAAAGAGAAATAAAAGTTGAAAAAATGTATTACATAATTATTCAAATTTAAAAGTTATTATTCGTAGAATTATAAAATGCAATATATCATTTAAGAAATATAACATAGAAATATAAAACTAGAAGAAATATAACATAGTACACGTCTGAAAATTATAATAAAAAAATAGTTTGATTTACTTTATCCAGATTATATAAATATTTATTTATTATAAAAATATTCATTGCCATTTTTTTTATGAATTATATTTTTTTTATTTTACTTGCTTTTTCTCATTGTGGTGATATTATAAAATTATAAAGAATTCAATATAAAATATTTGTTAATAATGTATCAATATAGGAATATTATAATTTAATGATATAAAATATATTATGATAAGACAATAAATAGTTTTCATTTGTAATGATTTTATAAGGTTATAATTTTACAAAGATGTCAAATCATAAAAACAGTCTGAAAACGTCGAGTAAAAGATAGAATATTAAATTTTAAAATATTTTATATGATACAACGCATGTTAAAGAAAAGGTTGCTAATGCTACAAATTGCATGACCATTATAAACAAATATACTTACGACTCTCCAAGTGTATTGATTTTAAGTCCGTGAATTGCAGCTCATGCCCATACATATAGTACAGAGGTGGGTTCCGTTACACTCGGGCCATCACGAGGATTATTCTGCATTCCATAAAGTGATGTCCCGCTTATAAATATTCTCCGTTTTTATTTGGTTTGCTCTTTTTAATTATAACCTTTCTTGAGTTTACTGTAGATTATTGGATTTACTTTGCTGTGTAATTTGTTTTTCTGATTGTTCAAAATCAATACATTGAAAGTATCTGTTATTTATAACTCAATTTTCATAATATTTTTTTAATTATAATATTTAATTGTGTATACATGCAAATATATTCAAAATATTCATAGCTATTTGAATTATCTTTCATTGAACCGATTAATGATAAGTTAACTAGTTAAACACAAGAAATATGTATTCATTGCATTAAATTTCTAATTTTATGTACGATAAATAAAATATTTTCAAATCAATTTTACATTGTACAGCATTATATAAAATTATTACATTATTTTTACATAAAAGACAATCATTTTATGTTTCTATTATTTTAAAATTATAAAATTAAAAGAAGAATGCCTTTACAAAAAGGTCAAATATAATTATAACTATAAACATGAGCTGAGTACATTATTGAAAAAATGATACAAAACTACTTATAATGAAAAATAGTTGCAACTATATTTGCATATTTCTATACAGCTTATTTTTAAGAATTAATTTTACTAGAAAATCTCAAATTTACTTATATTTTTTATAATTTAATTTGAATTATTACTATAGAAACTATTTTTTACGTATCTGGCAGTTACAATATATATATATACAATTTTATATATATTAAAATTTAAATCAAAATGGTTTCTATTTCTAACTATCTTAATAAAATATCAAAATAATTTAAACCAAATTGCTTCCAGTCATTCGGCAGGGATATATTTTCCTTAGAATCATTAAAATGTCCAACGTCCAGAAGCTTTTAATTGATTATGATCTCTTGAAATTAAATAAAACTTCTATTAATTATATAAGTTTTATATAAGTTCTTACTAAAGTTACCGATAGATATAAAATATAAATCAATAATATAAAATTAACCAGATAGAAAATCTTCATATTCCCTAAAATAAACCATAAACTTTAATGTATATAAATTCTTGCATATCTAAGAATTCAGCAATATTGAAACCCCGATAAAAAAACTAAACAATTAACATCTTCACACACCGAGTACAGTAGATAATAATCTTTATTTGAAAATATATAAACATTGTCGCACTGAAGGTAGATTGAAAAAAATATTTCCCCTTCATGTTCTACCATAATTAATTTATAAAATAAATTTCAATATATGTGAGACTGTAAGATATATGTAGATATATATATATCTATATATATCTCTCTATATATATATATATATACACACACATATATGTATATAAGTATTATATATATATATATATATATATATATATATATAGATAATAATTATTATATACTTATTTATACTATTTATATAATTATATATAAAAATTATAATGAAATTATTATTTATTCGGATTATTTAGTTAAATTTTTAATAAATTTATTATACTTACCAATTAACTGCTTTATATAACCTATAATTTATGAAATCTAAAAAAAAATTAAACAAAGCTTTAAAAATGTAAACAAATTCTAAACGAATTAGAAACTAATTAAAATCAAAATTTTAAACTACATTAAATACTTGAATTAAATATATAATTTATAGATATACTAAGAAGTAATTTAAAAGAACTAAATTTTAATATAATTTATATTTATGTATGAATATACAATCATTTAAGTCTTACTCTCTATTGTTTATATATTTTCATAAATATTATATTTTTCAAGCTCTCAATAACAATAATTCATAAAGACTCGCTATTTAACTTACATTTGCATAGGTTTGGTGGCTAATTAATTAATGTGCTTCGTATTCACGTTCTTTGTGAAAAAACGAACTTCTATAGTTTTAATTAATTCTAGTATTATCAAATTATAAGTTAGAAGTTCATCATTAATAATTAAAATTCATCTGTTCAAAAACAATGACTGAAAGTGTATCGATTCTTGGTATACAAAATTCGTTATTAACCTAATAATTATAAAGGGTGTTTTATTATTTATTATGATTATCAAAGTAAAATATATTATTTATTGTAATCTATCCATATTTCATAAACAATAACCTCACATATATCTATAATCAAATTACATTTTTTGGAAATTACTAAAAATAACTTGTATAATTTTTGACTAATGAAAAGCTAATCAATTCTTATTCTGGTAAAATCTTCTTTTATATCTACTTTCATTTCTTTTATTTCTGGCTGCATATTATTATTAAATCAATCACAAACATTTTATCTAAGGTATCTAAAATATATGACAAAATTAATAAAATAATTATAACAAGAGCACCATTTTGACATAATAATAATTTTAAATGGTCCATTCATTTTTTCCAGCTAAAGAGCATGTAAAATGTACGAATTTTTAAATATTTGATTTTAGATTATTTAAAAAGATTATATGTACTTAATCATCTGTAAAATAATTATTTTTTATTTATTGTATATTATTTGTTATTTTAATATTTTTATTAAATTTTTTAATATAAAATATTGCGATACTTTCGTGAATAATTTTATAATTAGTTTAGAGTTTCGTAGATATAGAACAACCATGGAGGTATGAAAAGTTAAAAGTAGATTAAAATGAAAGATATTAAGAACTAATATACCCGTAAAATAAATTATAATAATATATTAAAAGTATTGTTATTTTGTAAAAATTCTCTCAATATATTTAATCCTAACATCAAATTAACAATTAATTTTCTTTTATGATTCATAACGAAAATGAAATCATTTCCAGTGACCACTGCATACAAGTTTTCGTATATGTTATATAATATCGCAAATATTTAAAATAAATTAACTGAAAATGTTTTTGTAACATTAGTAATCTAGATATAGAGCTCGTTTCATATTCAAGTTTATTTTTAAGAATGTGCAATTATTTAAATAATGTTAACAAAAATAATTAAAGATGAAGATGAGTGGACATTTAAAGAAGATAGCTTTTCTATGTACTCGAATTCTCAAGATATGCTTATTTGTATTAATAAATTGTATATATTTTAATCATTGTATATAATATAAAATAAAAATTATGTAATAATATTGAACATAACTGCGAAAATATAATACTAAGCAATTATTTTTTTTCGGAAATATTTATATCGATTTAATATACACACGAATTTGTATCTTGAAATTGTATCCATTTAAAATATATATGTATAATAAAATTATTTACCTAATTTATTTCTGTTAATTTTTTTTACAACTTCTCATCTATCTTCACTAATCGATATTATCCCCTTTTTTATTTTCCATTGCTACTGATTTAATTATATTTTTTAAAATGTTATCTTGAGGCGCGAATTTGATAACACTTTCTTATTGCTTTAGCTTGTTAAAAGAATGTATGCGCTTGTGTAGATGTATATGTTTTAAACGATAGGGACATGTAGAGAGAAGTTGTTTGTTGTTCTGAGTTGTATATGCATAAGGGTGTGTGTATGCGCTCGCGTAATTTGTGAAAGAGAAAGAGAGAGAGAGAGAGAGAGAGAGAGAGAGAGAAAATAGACCTCAGTTTTTGTAATAGTAATTTTATGATTATGCTGACAATTCTCTCTCTCTAGAAAGAAACCAAACATTCATTGGTTCTGATTTGCCTTTCATTGTTACTGGACCTCTGTACTCTAATAGAAACTGTGGATCTTGATTTTCTTGTAGACACAGGTAGCTGAAAAATGGATAAATACTTATATTGACTATATAATTTGAAATCATATTCGTCATTTATAAAATAAAAATTGAATAGAGCTTAATATATCTAACAAAACTTTTAGAAAAGATTGACTCGATATAAGAGAGTCCGTAATATTAATTAAATAATTAAAAGTATATTTAAATATTTACTTTTCATTTCATCAGATTACATAAACTTTTGTTATCAAATTAAAATAAAGTAAATTTTAATGAAATATATTCATAGTTATAAGTTTCTCTTATCAATAAAAATATTTTAAATAATTTTACTATTTATTCGATAAAAATTTGAACGTGTATAATGATACATAGTAAAATTAAATATAACAATATTTAATGCGTTCGTTTAAAATTATTTTTAAAATTGAAAAAAATACATATTATTTTTCTTTTAACGTAATAAAAACTATGCATTATATGTAATCATAAATATTTTAATCCAAATCTCAATATTTCTATATTTTTTCGAACTCCGAAAATACAATATTTATTTAAATGCTTCAATTAACTACAGGTATTTGTATACAAAAAATTTCCAAATTTAATTGAACTTTTTCTAATAATCCAAATAAACCTTTTCATTCAAGTTCTTAATATAATATATTTTTGCTTAGTCGTTAATAGGATCAAATCAATATTAAATTATTAGAAATTGATTATAAGTTACTAATATTTATTGTAAATGTTACTAGAGAAAATGTATGTAAAGCTACTATATTGCTAAAAAATATATAAATGTATCCTGAATAACATAAATCATTTTATAAATACATTATAGAAACCATTAATTGTGTGATTAATGTATTAGATATTAAAATATTTTATACAATTGAAAATTAATGTTTGTAACAGAAAAGTGGTAAGTTTCAGAAAGTGCGAGGTGAAGAAACCTTTTAAGGAAATCCTTAACAAGCGTAATCAAATTATGTGTGTATCATTGACAGTTATTCTTCATTTTGTTTTTTAGTACGCGAGAAATTTATTTTCATGTAAGTCGCGCGAGTATTGGTGTTCAAATATTTATAGTATTTTGTGATATGCATTTTATCGTGTAATTATGGAAGGATCTATTGATTGTTATTTTAATAAATTATTAGAAGGTATGGAGAGAAACAATCTCGCATCAAGGCACAGACGACGACAATTGGTAAAATTTCTTTCTGATGTCATTGATAATTCTGCAAAAGGTAATAACATTAAAGCCATTATATTAATTATTTAAATATAATTATATAAATTTATAATATATATATATAATATATAAAATAAATATTATATAAAATAAAAAATAATTATATAAAAACCAAATAATATTAAAGCCATCATAACCTTTGCTATTAAGTTAATTTAATATAATTTTAGAACTTTTATTTATTTAATAATTTATTTAAATTATTAAATTTATATTTTTATTTAAAACATCAAACGTTGTATTTTTCATAATAAGAATTTGTTTGAATTTAAAGAAGTTGTACATAATAATGGTATAATATTTGACTATAATAAATATTTTTTTTAAACGCAAGAAAAAATTCAGTTAAAATAAAATGGGTTAAATGTTTTAATATTTGATTATTTTATGTTTTTATATTTTATGTACGTCATATTTTATATATATCTAAATATTATATGTGGTATTAAATTTAAAACGAATACATTTTAAATTAAATAATTTATATAATATATGTAAATTTTTATATATATCTAAATATATCTAATATATCTAAATTTTCTAAATAAATTTATAATTAATTTCATTCAAGAAACATGCAAATTGTTTTTTGTATTTTATTTATAGAAATTTTTATTGGTTCTCAACAAATTCTACATTTTAATATAATTATTATTTTTTATGTATATAAAAGTAATATGAATATTCCAAATAGATTTGTAAATATAATTCTTGAAAATTTGTATATATGCATGTATATCTATGTTACTATAGTAATAACATTCTTCTATATAGTTATTTCTAATCATAATTATGCTCATAACTGTATAATTTTAGTTAGTTAAATAAAACTTAATATATTAGAAAATAATTATATCTTGTAATAAATAGCCTATGAATATTTTTAATGAAATTTATATTTCTCTAAATATACAAATTTAATTAATATTATTTTTAAATAATTACATAATTGAAAAAATATTGCATACTTCATCAATGAAATATTTTTATTATACTATTATTTTTAAAATACTGTTAAAATTATTAAATTTTATTATTTATATTACATATTTTAATTCTATAAAAGTTTATTTTATTTACTTATATTATGCAGTAATAAAAATAAGTAGTTTCGTTTTTCTGTGGTCATTTTGAATTTTTTTTTATTATGACGATAAATTATTATATTTGTGATAATTATAGTAAACTATAATCTCTGTACATTATGTAAATTCCATAATCTATACAATCTAAAAAAGATTATTATGTATTATTTCTTTTCAAATATCAATTATTTTATAATTTATAAACCATTTTTATTACATGAAATTAATTAAAAGATTATTCTTAAAGATACAAAAATCTAAAACTACTTTAGTTTCAATCATCTTTGCTTGGGTCAATCATGTTGATATGAATTTATCAAATTCTTTATATTAGAATGTACAAATAAGATAATAATGAATACAATATAATCCATAGTAGAAACATAAAAGATTTTTTTTTTAAATAAACGTGAAATGTGATTCAATAATCAGATATGAAAAATTATCTGAACATATTTTATTATTTAGACTTAATTGTTTATTAATTTGTTATTACGTTATCGCAAAAGCAAATCTTATTTAACTGAATTGCATTACTTTTATATTTTAGAATAAGATTATTTCTAGATTTTTCATTTTGTATGTCTGATTGTAAGATTGAATAGTTATTTTAGTTATTTTAATTGAAAACATAATACTGATATTGAAGATAATTCAATAGAATAAGCCTTAATTGCCTTATAGTCCATTTTAAATTTCATTAATCATTTCTAATATGATACCTTATTTATATGCCTAGAATGTTTAATGTTATATGTAATATTTAATATTTAATATGTAATATACATCTAAAAAATTTATTGTTATTTTTGTTGTTTTTTTTTAAATTTTGAAAATAATGTGAAATCCATATTTTTCACGTTTTTAAATCATTTTTACATTAAATTTAGAATTTTTTCTAAAATTTATTAATTTATTTATATAAATATATAAATCAGTATCTATTTGTAAAAGACTACTTTCTACTTATGAATTTCAGTCGAAATTGTAGATGAAATAGAAATTTGCGAACGCATAGTGAGAGCAGCTTTACGATATCATAATATTTCTATGACTGAAAACTACTCAATTTGCATACTTGGAAAATTTCATAACGTTCTTTACATTGCGGCTAAACTCTGCTACGATTGGCAAGTCAACAATAACGAACTTGTAATTAATATTCTTAATGACATATTCTACTGTGAAAAATCTTTTGAAAGAATATTTATTGGGGCGATTCTTGGAACCAGAGTAACACACTTTTTGTCAGGATGGAAAAGTGATTTTGAAAATAAAGAGGAGAATATAAAGGCTTTGGTATACTTTTTAGATCATGCGATTCAAGCTCGTTTAGAATTTTATTGTCTCTCTTTATCATCAACAAGAAGGTTTGTAATAATATCAAATCTTTAATTATTTAGTATACGTAAATGCTAAGTATACTTTATTTTAGTGTTACTAATATCCATTCAAATCATGATTTATATAATAGATTTTATATAAATTCAAACTATATTTCTATAGCATATACTAGCACATACATAACTATAGCATATACATAATTTTATAAGATTCTGCAATTCTGATATTTAATAATACAATGAATATATTAATTCAAATATGTAATAGTTAATAATTTAATAAGACGTTGTTCCTATGTGCAGTATGAAATAACAGAAATTAATTTAAAAATAAATATCTATTATTTTAATTTTTAAGAGCAAGTTTAATAAAACTATTTTCTCATTTTATATATTGTTATAGTGACTCTATTAAATCCCTTCACCGCAGGTTCATTGATGTGCCGATGGAATCATACGGGCAAGTAGTACCTCTGCACGTAGCTGTACAAAATGCTTCACCAGATATTCTCCAAATAATGCTCCGATACGGTGCATCCATTAAAGACGACCGATTTATTCCTGCTCCTATTGAGGTTCTTCTTGCTCGGATAAATGAATACAACGAGGAAGTTACATGCCCACAGCAGCTGCTTATTTGTCTTAAACTACTACTACGTACAATACCTACCATAATTATTAAGATACCTAATCATCTAACAGATTCTAACAATATCCAGAATATTTCTATTTATAAACAATATCCAAATCTCGCTCTAAGAAAACTTCTTCCTCCAGAGAGATTGGGTAGTGTTCCACCTGAGCTGAAACATTTGTGTAGATGTCGAATAAGACAGTGTCTTTCGGATAATTGGGCACTTCCTCATGGCATAAAACTACTACAGATACCTAAATTATTACAAGATTATCTTGATCTTTTAACCGATTAAAAAATCAATAAAATTCATGACTATTAAATGGATGATACAAGTCAATTATTTAAATATATAGTATCTAATTGTTAGACCAAATGGAATTTCCTTCCATAAGAATACCAACGTATTTTAAAAATTGTCAATTTATTATTGATAACATGATTTCCATTTTGAAATTTGTTGAAAGATATATTAATCTGCTTATTAAAGATGTACAACCGTATTTATCACAACATTAATGACAACATTGATGGGTCGGTCATGTTTCAATCACATTAAAAATATCGTTCACAGCCGTTTAAAAGCAATACCTACATTCTGAAACTATTGTTACTTCGTTATTAATGTTTTTTATAATTGACTAAAGGCACAAAATTGCAAAAATATTTTTCAAATTTACTTATACGTATATCCGTGATCTAAGCATTATAATTTTCTTCTGTACTATAAGTTTTTAACGCAAATATTGAGAATTTAGAACTATAATATTGTAAATGAATTAAGTATTTTTAATCAAATTTTGTTATATTACTAATTAATAAATTAGAAACCAATGATTATAAATTATTACAAAAGAAAACCTTATAAATAATAATTTATTATAAGGATTCAATTAATGATCTAGTTGATGCACCGGCCAAATGTTTTACTTGTATAAATCTTGCATATAACTTGCGTATAATTGCATAGGTATAGTACGAAGATGGAGTACTAAAGAGCATTTCAGCAAAATAATTTTTGATTCTAGAATGGATACAAAAGACGAAAGTCTAAGCTACGCGAAACAATTGTCTTTCAACTCTCAGATTGCTGAACTATCAATTTGTGTATCACAATAATAAGCGATGAAAACAGTACATCGTTGTACGTATGTATAATACATGTCGTTATGTACAACACATCAACTGCATTAAATTGTTGATGTCGCAAATAAATGTGTCGACAAATAAATATTAGCTTGATTTTTATTATTGAATTATTGAATCAATGAGAATTGATTTGTTATTATTTCATTATGAAGACAAGCCGATTTTTATCTATTACCGCCATTCTACTGTATCTAATAAGTGAGTTAACCAAGCTCAACTTTTTACTTCATACACATTTATTTTCAGTTATTTTTATTTATTTCATTTATTTTATTTTATTCTAAATAATTTTTCATAAATAAATTTACATATTTATTTTATTTTAAATTTATCAAAATTTCTTTCACATGATTATATTTACAATAAAAAAATTTAATGTACTAAATAAAAAATTTATTAAATAACTTAAAATATGTATTTTATATAATAATTCATTTTTAACATTAAGTTAAAATTTGAAATTATATAAAATTTAAAAATGCAAAGATGATTATTTACCTACAAATCCATTATGCATGTATTAGTAAACTTTTATATATATACATTCGATACTCCAATTCGTTTATTTGAAATATATATTAATTTTAATTTATTTAGACAAATATTAATTTGGTTAATTAAGTTGGTGGTAAGCATAGAAATCGCGTGCACTAAATTACTTTACAATTTTTTAAAATGCATATGAGATTGTTATAAGTATTAATCTGAATAAACTATACTTTATCATTCTGCAATTATGGTTTACAATACGAAGAGTGTAATAAATCCACTATCTTCATTAAAAATCACATATCTTGAAAATGAGGAACGACAGTTTGAATTAATAAAAAATTAAAATAATAGTAATGTTTTTGGTATTAAAAAAAAAATACAAATATATAAATAAATAATAAATTTAATCCAATAACATATGTAACAAAATTATCTTTTTAGAATAGAAATTATAATATAAAACATACAGCAATATGTAAATTATTTCATGTATACTATGAACGACAAGTAAACAATTATAATTTAAAAAATAATGTTTCTGAATTTAAATAATGAACCACAGTCCCATTATGTGAGATATCGCCTGAAATTCCAAAATGATATAAAGTTTAAAGAGCCAATAACTTTAACTCTCGATTTGCGCATGCCTCAAAAAAGCTTAATAGTAATGTTTTCCACTTTCTATATAGAACTGTTCATAGGTAATATAAACCTAACCTCAAACGACTCGAATTTTTAAGCTTTATCTCTCTTATTCGTGCAATTTTTAACTCAACAAGATTTTCAGGAATATAATACAAGCATTTTTTGTATGAGGAAACAAGGACTATCTATGGATATTTTTTTTCTGACTAAATTCTTTATATTTTTATTGCTTAAATATTGCTATTATATTTAGAAGATTTTTAAATAGAATGCGAAGCCTAGCTTCGGATTAGATAAGGTAGTTTAATAACTTGAATGCAATACAAACACTAAATATTTGTACTTATTGAGATTATTTGTCTAAAGTCATTGTTAAAAATATAATTCAAATAGATTATCATTTATAGGAATATATTACTTAATTAACGTATATTAATTTAAGCATTTTTAAAAGTAGATGTATAAATATTTAAAATGCTTTAAAAGATTTGGTTATAATTCAATGTATATTAATATTAATACAGAATCATGAATACACAAGATTATACAAGGTGCATAAAACTGTCACCGAATAATAAAATCTATATATTTGTTCGGGATTGATGCAGTCCCATGAATTTCAAACAAAAAAAAGATCATACGCGCTGTCCGGCGTACCGCATGTGCGCCTAGACTTGTACGCATGTGCGGACCGAGACGCGCACTCGAGCGAATGTTTACAAACAAAACTCGGCAAGTCCGAGCAAGTTTACGACCCGAAATATAATATACTGTAAGATCACCCAAGGGTATTACTCCTATTTTTCTCTCCTCGAACATTCTCGAAGGTTCTAGATTTTTCCTTCGACGCCTCGTGTAAGAATTAGTGCAACAACAACGATGCCTTCTTGCCAGCTAAGTGAGCCGCTGCGTGGCTATATAAGGGACGCACGGGGCGCACCTCGCTCTCTTGCTGAAGATACCTCTTCAGCAACTGCGCTTGCGGCTAACAACTTGCCGTGACCCGACAGCAGTGACACCGACCATAGTGAACCGATTTAATCATCTACCAGTAGAAGCCACGACACACGAGTCTCGATTTGCCCTCGGCAGGACCGCCATGGAACGGTCGGTATTTTCAGTAGAGCCGCCACGGAACGATCAAGCCTTCGGTTCGTGCGCGTATTCAAAGGGCTCATACGCTCATTTGTAATATCACTTCGCGTTCACTCAAGTGTATCTGCCGCTCAGTGTTTTGTATACTGTGAAGACGACGCGTGGCCATATTTTCGGCAACATAGTTAAGAATACACGCGTGCGTAAGAATAAGAAATCAGCAGATTAGATAGTGATTACAGTGAAGCCAATGAAATAGTGATCAAGGGGGACATCAACTACACAGCATCTAATACACCTAGCCTGCAGTTCACCAGGTACACCTCTATATTAATAAATAAACAAGTCACATCTCGCACTAACGTCGATCGGGCACAGTTACGCTCTCTCGACTAACACTTCGACATCCTACAGGCCCTCAACAGCTGACGCAAGAGTCACTGTGGTTCACACATTGTCAAGGACAACAACAGATCGACTAATAGACTATAAATACAGATTATTAAATCCTTCACCACTTACTGGTTAGAAATCTTACCAGTAATTACTCTTACCTGTGACTAGTTCTTCTACTGTCCCCTTGCATAATTAAAGACACAATTGATTACTTAATAAATTCCATTAAACATCTTATGCCATATCAAGTATAGTTATTCATACATCAAGCGTACTTGATTCAACTACCATCTGCTCATGCTACCTGACAAGCATGATTGATTGACTACACCGGCTGACATTTACAGCATCAACATTACTTCAACTTCAAGATACTTAGTCATATCCATAGAACTACAATAATCAAGAATACAAGAACACACCCTCATTACTTCGATAGAATCATCTCTCTCTACACAACGGTGCAATATTATTATAATCATTTACACATAATAAACATTGTTTTTACTAAATATATAATATTTTTCAGCCTTATCACTTATTATTTCCTTTGCAGTTATCCTGCTGAGAGACTAATCCACTGAACTATTGAATTGGTAGTTCGAGCCATAAACTAAACCTTTAAAATCGAACAATATTTCTTTAGGTATTTTTAAACAAGACTAGTGTACAATATCTTATTATGTAATGAATCCAGAATTATGTAAATAATAATGACTATCTTTCTCGAATACAGAATAAAATGAAAACCTTTAAAAAAATCAAATTTAACGTAATCAAATATTCATTGGATTATTATCAATTTTCAACAAACTTTTAAAATATCAAGTTATATTTGTAAATAAATATTTGAATAATGATAATCAATTAAAAAATAAAATTTTATTGTAGTGATATATTTTTATAATACTTTGATTTTTCATTTATTTATTGTATCTAATATAATTTAATATTAATTTTGCTTTTCAAAGTGTTGAAATTTATTCACTTTAATATTTTAAAATATAATTTTTTGTTAAATAGAGTAAAATTATATTTTACTCTACTTAAATTCTTAAATTCTATTATAATTATACAATAATATATACCATGAATCAATGAAGCAATAGTTTCATTCTATAAATGTAACCAATAAACTTAGTTAAATCAGATTTGCCAGAATATGGATAAAAGATACTTGATTCCTTTTACAAATGGATTTTGTAAAAAGTCTACAAATATTTATAAAGAGTTTTACATTATATTTTAAAATAAATCTACATAATAGTCTCACTATTATATAAATGACTAAAGTTCACACAGTAATAAGAGATTTCAAACTAGAGTAATAAAAGTAAAAATAAAACAGTAATAAAAGATTCAAATAATAATAAGAGACGTTATTACTTATATATATTTTTTACTTTTCATCTTTATTACAGCTGATACATTTACTATAATATATCATTAATATTTTTATTGTTGAATAATATAGCTATTACATATTAAATATTAAAATAATTAATATATTTTAACGATTGATTCTAATGCTTTTGTTATAGTAAATATCATTTTAATTATTTAAGAAATATTTTTTTAATATAATATTTTTGTTCGACATATATTAAATTTTTAAATAAAATTTTATAATCCATATAAAAATATTATTGACTGTAAAATTATAGTAAAATTTATTTTTTAGCACACATCAATTTTAAAATCTATTGATTTTGAAAGATTTAAAAATCACAATTAATATACATGTAATACATTTAATATTAAATAGATTCAAACTAGATACATTAAGTGATTATGTATGAACGATAATATTCATTTTCATGAATGATATATAAATTTTGTATACATATATCTTAAAAAAATTCGTTGTATGATGCGAATAAAATATCTGACAAAATAAATGAATTTTTAAATTGATGTGTGCTTATGGAATAAAATATTATTTTTAAATAATATTCTTATATAAAGACGATAAATAATATGAAATATAAATATATACAAATAATTACTATGAATATCAGATTACCCATATGCATCTTCTGACACATTGATTTTCCCTGGTTCACCGGTAGTTTCTGTTCGGCTAGTAAGATTAACTGTATTACCAAAGAGACAGTAGCGAGGCATACGATGACCAATTACTCCAGTAACTACTTCCCCACTATGTATACCAATTGTAATTTTCTAAAAACAATTATTAATACTATTTAATATGATTATTGTATTTATAATATAAAGCTTTAATTATCTGGTTTATGCACAAAAGTTTCCTGTTATACAAAAATATACAACTTTTAAATACTTTTATAAATATAAAACATTTGATATATAATATAACCTGATATCTGATTAGTTGTTTATACAAGAAATTTAATATAATAATAAAAATAGGTTTAATTTCAAATTTTACTTTCATCTATGAAGACGACATAAATTATTAATATATAGTTTTTCTCACCACAGGTTCTCCATCAATTTTTACTTCATCAGCAGCTAAATCCATCATATCCAATGCAAGACGTGCAATACAACGAGCATGAGAACTACAAGGCTCTGGTAATCCACTAACTGCCATATATTTGTCGCCGACAGTTTCAACCTAAAAAATAAGTTGAATAAAATAAGGTAAATATATTATCATGAATTCCAGAAAGACGAAGACAATTTAAAAAAAAATTGTATATCACGATCTTAAATAAAAACTTAAATAAAATGGAAATGAGAATCAAAAGAAAGTTATTTGTAACCGTTTATATGCGGACATACGCATTTATATAGCAAAATACACACGCGAATATTATATAGCTTACATGTTTTATATATATTTCTATTATGTTGTTATTATTATTATTATTATTATTATTATTATTATTATTATTATTATTAAATATAAATGTATATTTATAAAGTAAAATAAGATATGAATTTAACTGATATATATTTTAATTTAATTTTTTTCTTTTATAATAAGTTGATATATCGAACCATTACTATTTTTGCATTTCCCTTTTTCGAAAATTATTATAATTCAATATATACATATATATATATATATATATTATTTCGTTTAGTATGTTAGTAAAGTTTTCTCTTTTTTCAGCATGTATAAAAAGCATTTGCGCTGTCTTCTATATTTTAAAGACAGGAAGAAAGTATCAATTTTTAGAAAATGTAGAAAATAATTATATTGTTCAACCCACGCAACTATTCAAAATCAGTGTAAAATATACGATCATGTTAATCACTCAAGAGCACCTTACATCATGTGTGTATAATATTCTGATCACTGTCTAACATTTTCTTATGTTCTCATTTATATTTTTATTTATATATTTTTATATTCTTTTGTATTTTTTTTCTCTATCCAAACTTCATTGAAAATCCAGCAAAAAGCAATTAACTATAGTATGATAAATGTCTTTTTAAAATGCATTGCAAAAGGTATAAATCACAATATACAGCGAATATACTTAATGTAATGATAAAAAGTGTATATTAATTGATATTCAAGATGAGCCGAAGAAAAAAGGAGAAAAAGGTATATTTTTTATATATAAGTATTAAAAATAATATGGAAAATCTTACAAATTATTTGTCTTGATTGAATGATCCGGAAATATGACATAGAAGTCGAATCAAAAGATTGTGCGAGAACCCAAATAAGAAAGGAAAAATTAAAAGCTACGAAACGTATGCTTCTTTAATCACCTTTTCTTTGGCTCTAGAAACGTAAAGTTAAAAATTAGAATATTTATTGAATTTTGATAAAATATCAAATAAAATTTTTAATTGAGAATATATTTGTAGTAACGTAATAGAAAATATACAATTATTTATATAATTTATAAATTTGTTGGGGGTATTAATTCTATACGCGTTCTGACATAATTACATTAAATTCTACTTTCCAAAATTAATGATTTTAAATATTAATCAGTCTTTAAAAGCTAATTTTATATAATTTAAATATTTAAAGATATTAATTTCTAATATTAATAAAAATTAATTTTTTGTACTGGTTTTTTTCATTACAATATTTTATTCTAAAGTCCATGCATTCTTTCAATTATTTTAATTTCTTTAATTTATTTTATTTTTTCAATATTTATTGATAGAATATATAATTTAAATTTAAATTTTCGAAATCATAAAAATAACATGATATCTAGAAGAAGTTTGTCTATATACGCTTAAAGAACTTAATATTTATACACATAAACATGTGTGCGATTGCGTATGTGTGCATGCGTACAATTCAAATTAAAAACAAATATAAAAGTAAATATTAATTTATATTTTTGATCGCATATTACCATTACTGAAATTATCTAATTTAAAATTAAGTTTTATGTAGAAATATTGATCAATTTAATGCATTGCTGCAGGCTATATTATTAATCATTTGAATGTGATATAAAATTGAACAGTAGTAATAATAAATAAATAAAAATTTTTAAAAAAGCTTTAAAAATATATACCATCAAGAAGAAAACTGCTATTCAATCAATAGCATATTTTCTTATTTTTATTACAAAAAATAGTATAAAACAAAAGAAACCAATACAAATTCCATTCATTCGAATTTACATCACGTACCTTGTAAACATTCGGATTTCTCTTAGGGTCCGTTAGAATATCAAAAGCAATGTATAATTCGTTGAGCATTTTGACAATCTTCATAGCACCACTTGCATCCGTATGTGCTGCACAATAAGCGCTAAAACCCACAATTCCCGAAAATAAAAGTGTAACGCAGTCATACTTTCTTGCTGGTATTGGGCGTGAGTGTCTTAATTCATTAGCGACGGAGATCGGTAGAACAGAGTAGAGCAACCTGTTTATTAAAAGATAATTAATTATAACTTATAAATATAGTAACTTTTTTAGATTTACGCAAAACTAAATGATTTTTTATTATAAAAAATTATATAAATTAATTGTTCTTTCTACTTATTTAATACAAATTATTTTTCCTTATGACAATACTAATCGATTTTCTATGTACATCATCGTTAATTTAAATGAATTATTTAAAATGCATATGTATTCTAAATGTGTTTATTAACTTATTGGAAGTATATTCTCTATCTTACCATTTTCAGTTTCTGATTGTCAAATATGTGTGTTGTTGACTGTAATATATTCATATTTTTTAATAAAAATTTTGTCAATGCCAATAACATCGTTGGTATTATTCATAAACGGATATTAATTATTATTAAATTAAGTAAAAATTATCTTAATTCAAACAATATTTTCTGTAAATAGAAAAATTATTTATTTGACAAAAATTAAAATTTTCTTATTGTACTAAAAATAAAATCTTTAATAGAAACAAATTATTACAAAAAATCATGAAGAGCCTTGATTTTTAAATTAAAAACTTAAAAATATTAATAATTAACAGTATTGTAAAAGAGTTAGTAAGTTATTATGAAACTTCCAACGTTTTAAATGTTATTTGAATTTTATCTTTCGTATGTAGAAGTGTTCGAAATATAATTTGTATAATAATTGTAATGGTATTAAGTTACTCAAGCCCATTGATTTTTAATTATTTTTCCATAACAAATAATAACAATTTCATTATATATTTTTGTGTTAAATAATATATCCTAATATTTATTTATACATTAAATCAATCATTATTTGCATCTAAGTTATAAAAATATTTAAATTAATAATTTATATAATAAAAGTTATAAATTGATGCAAAAATCATTGTTTCGAAATTACAAACGTTTCCTTAATTAATAGAATATATTTGCGACATTCTACAATAATACACACATAATATAAAACAAATACCTGTCGGTCTTTTGTTTTTCACCATCCAGTTCGCGATAAGTTTGTTGTAGCTTATCCGTAAGTAGCTCAAGGTTTCTTGTCAATTTATAGTCAGCTTCAAATTGTTCAGACATAAGAACTAAATCTCGAGTAGCGTCATGAAGAGGTACGTCACTCAGGTACAGACCTCTTCTAAAATATGTCGTATTATATAAAAATGATTGATTTAAATAATTCTTTACTTGGTATATTTACTATAAATTTAATTTAATTTAATGATTTGAAAAATAATTGAAATGTATTAATAATAATTTTAATACAAAAACCTATAATTATATATATATATATATATATATATATATATATACTGATTTCATAAAATAAATCAACATTGTTATGTGCTCTATTATTATATAATTAACTTAATATTAAATCAATAAAGTCAAGAATTTCTTATATGATTATCTTTTAATAGCTAGAGTTATGTATAATACGTATAGATCTTTTATAGTTTGATATATATATATATATATATAGATATATATTTATAAACTATCTTAACATGATTAAATTATTATATACGATTATCCAAATTATAGATTTTCATATATAATTTTGTATAAGTAATAAAATAAAAATACAAAGAAAAATTAAATTAAAAAAAAATATGAAGAAACATTATAATGCGGTCACTACACAAAAAAAAAATTATGTATTTGTAGTATGAATATGATGAACTTTGACTTATTTAAACCTAATTTAAAGCATTAACATCAATTTTCCTTTATTATTGAAAAGAAAATAAAAGAAATAGAAAATAAATTATTCCTAATGTATAGCAAGATTATTTAAAACAATTCCCAATTGATTTATTTCCCACAATATTAAGTGGTGAATAAATGATAAAATTTATTTAACGGCAATAAGAAGATTTTATGTTTATTTAGATGTCTCCAAATTTATAGTTCAATTTAATAGAATAGAGATACGTATATTTTAGGCTTAAAATCACTCAATAATTTGGCATCAAACTCGACTATGAAGTTAGAAGAATAAACAGTTGACACTATTTAATGTTTTTTTATTAACGGTTTAAAGTACTAAATTTCAACAATACTCAAAAACTAAAAATTGTAAATCTTTAATATTAAATGGTCACATCATATTAAAGGTTATCAATATAATTTTAATCAAAACTGAATTCTTGGATTTACTTACATAAATTTTATCTCTTTTTTATTGGTGTGAATTGGTTTTCATTTAAAATTTTTAATAAATACAATTACTTATTCAAACTACTGATCTAGTATTCTTATTAATTTATACAACATTGGATGCATAATAAAATTAATTTTTTCATTTGTCGCTTATTTATAGTATATAAATATAATGGTGCAGTGGCATATCAAAATCACAAAAAATTTTTTTTAAACATTATTTTAATGCAATATATTAATATAGCATGTAAATACACATTAAATTCATAAGATCAACCGATATTTTTAACAGATACATATTTCATTCTTTGCACAAAACTAAAATAATTGATACCAATAGGCTAACTATTATTTAAAAAAGAAATCTGTAAAATAAAATAAAAAATTGAAATATTTGTATGAATAAAATATATCCTATATTTGTTAAAAAATGAAAGTAAGGTACTTATATGTATAAGTGATCGTTTAAAGGTTACCATTAAATATAAAAAAGTAAATGTAGTTCGTTATTTATTTATAAAATACAAATTGTGTTAAAATGTATTTATAAATATATTTATTGAAATGCAAACTTGTAAAGAGATTAATTATTTCTTGTAAATTAGTATGTATAAAGTGAAAATGAATTAAAGATATATATTTGCTCCTTGTAAATTCTGTTTATTCATTTATAATTACTACTGTAATTAATGTCTTTAATTTATATTGTTCATATGTACAAATAATAATTGTAAAAAAATTTAAAGTCATCCAATGATCAATATTGAATAAATATTTATTAATAAAGTGAATATAATAGAAAGTAATTTTGTAAATAAAAAATTAGGTTGAATCATTAACGAGTTCATGAACTCATACTCATAATATGAAGAATAATTAATCTAAATGATAATCTATTTTTTATGTACTGATAGTAATAAAATAAGGCTTATTCAAAAAATGTCAGCCGTAAATAAATATCAGAAAGAAAATATTGAATATAACAGTATACATTTAGTTAGTATTTTATATTAGAATCTCATATGCATTATAAAATGCTTGCTATATTTTACTTTCGATGACAATATTCACATTGATACAAACCATTGTATTGTATAAATATATGCATATAGGAAATATTATTGAAATTTTTTTTAATACTAGAAATAATAAATATAATAAATTTGAAACATTCAGATCAATAAGTAGTGAAGACAAATAAAATATAATAGTCTAGAAGAAAAATCTGCTTACTGGTTAAACTAAAAACTAGAAGGAAACTCTTTAAGAAGAGCTTCAATGATACAAACAATGAGAGTAAATTAAGTTGTAATAAATCATGTACAAAGAGCTAATTAGTTTATATGATATTTGATAAATATAAAATAGTAAAATGTAATTATAAGTAAAGTTTAAATATATATTAAGATATATATAAAAATAATACATAATATAAAATATAAATAAATAAATATAAATAAAAAATAGTATATACATATATAAATACACATAATTCAAGATCGTATAAATATAATGTATGACTAAATTGTTAGATTAAATAATGGATAAAGTATCAAAACTGATAATTGAAAAGAAATAAATACTTAATATTTCAGAGATTAAGTCTGTATTTAAAATAATATGTATTAAATTTAAATCATATAACGAATTCTATAGCTCTATATTCTATATATAATTAATTACATGCTACTAATATACAGTTTAAAAATTAATTCAAATACTTTTATACACGGGTATATATGTGTTTATACATAAATATAATTGTTTGGATAGTTCTCTGTATTTATTTCTTTTATAAAAAATTTAATTTATATACACATGTCGTAATTTCAACTTACTTCGTTAGATCATCGAGATTCATCACACTTGGATAGCAAAGGAAGATGACCGAATCCGATTCACTCACGTACAGCATTTGACCCTATTTTGTACGTGTTGTATGAAGAAAAAAGGATCGATGGTATTTTGTAAGTCTATTTACACGTAAAAGATATTTAATAAAATAATTCGTAAAAATAAGTTTGAATTTATGAAAAATTACAATCTGTTATAAGTATCTGATTATAAAAAAGAACAATGATCTAGAAGTTAACATATAAAATGATCAACATTTAGTATTACTAAAGATTATTAAACATATATTTCATTTTAAAATAAAATTTATTATTGATGTTATAAAGAATAGTTATCAATATGAATTTCTTATTTAATAAAGTTTGTGAAACAATTTTCTATGTGTGCTCATAAATAATTAAATATGAAATAAAATAATGAATTCACTATGAATTTTTAATAAATAAAACTACCAATGAATTAAATTATATTAAAATAATTTAAATAAAAGATACATATATTAAATATATGCACATATATAATATAAATCCGTTGATAATTTGTTACGAATTCACGAAAAGATCAATGAAAGTAAATAGAATGTGGATAAAATTATCAATTTAATAAAAAATTGTTTTTATATTGAGGTAAAACTATAAACATTTTTAACAATTATTTATCAGTTTTTAAATATAATAACGTAAAATCATAATAGTTATAGATCCTACAATATGTAAATACTTTTATTAAAAATAAAATGATTTCCTAAATGCAAACTTACTGCTCAACAATAATGAATTATACTGAAATATCTTTTAAAAATATTTAAATTAAAAGTAAGTTTTTCGCATAAAAATATTTAAAAAAAAAAAATTCAATTAAATTATAATTTAGTTCATCTACGTTAGTGTAAAATGTATTTTATAGTGTTTTCGAGTTATTATTTTTAAACTACATATTGAAAAATGATAAAAGTACTTTTATGAATGTAAGCCACGAGTAAATGTAAATATATAGTTATATTTCATTGTATTAAATACGATGCACATGTATTAATACCGATTTAAATACATAATCTTATGTAATAATATATTAATAATTTTAGATTAAATTGATAAATATATGATATTATGGTAAATATTTAAATATTATAAATTATAAATTATAATAAAATGTAAAAGTTTATTTTAATATTATTTTTATTAAAAGTTGAAGGTATATCGTAGATGATGGTTGTCGTGACAAAATGATCATAATTCAAATCGGAGTATAGTATTATCAAATTAATTAAATCCTTAAACATAAACAAAAAAATCTTTAATAATAATATTAGTTGTTACTAATGAAGAAAATAATTTCCACTAATATGAAGATAAAATTAATGATCATAGAAATAATTGAATTAATTAGAAACTTAAATATTGCAATAGTTTAAAAAAATTAAAAAATAAATAAATATATAAAATATCTAATTTTTAATACTTATATGTTATATGTGTACACATATAATTATTGAAAGAGCAAACATAGTAATTTTTAAAAATTAGAAATTTATAAAAATATTTTTAAAATTCGTACCTTTAAACGTAAGTCGGAATATTCTTCAGAGGCATTAACTTGCATAACACCTTTCTTTGTTCGAAGTACGTAGACAGTATTAATATGAGAAAGAATATTTTCAAACGTCAGTTCAAGATGTGGCCTTACCTTTTAATAGGAAGAAAAATATTACATTAAATTAATTTATTTTTTTGAGAACTTCATAACCAAAATAAGGTTAGATTGTTCATAAATCTAAGAAAAGAGATTAAATAGAAAAATATTAAACTAATAATTTGGTATTGGTTAAATAAATTAATTATATATATATATATATATATATATATATATATATATATATAATATATATTTTTTTTTAATTTTGGTATATTGTGTGAAATATAAAAAAGTAAACAATATTACTAAATTATAAAATGCTAATTTTAAAAATGTAAATACATAAAGCAAGTTATGTATCATAATAATTACCTATCGTTAAACTAGTACAATTGATTTAATAGAAAGCTTAAGGTAGTGGTAATCATAAGAAATTATATGTATAATTATAAAAATTATTAATTTTATAATTTATTTCTATAATTAAAAAAAAGTTTATCTGTAATATATACTTTTATAATATATAATATACTGATATAATACGTGACTGTTTTTATAATGAGATCCTTCAAGAAATACATAATTCTTAATAGATTAATAATTATTTATTAAAAAGATATTATACAGCATTTACATATTTAACTAGATTGTTATGTGCATTAATTTGCATGGGTAAAGTTAAATTATCATTAAACATCATATTCGTATCATAGTTTTTATAGAAAAAAATCTATATAATCTATATAATTTTATTTAGGCATATAATTGATATAATGAACTATTCTATAATTTGAAAATACAGCAGGGACAATAACTATTATAAAAAATTAGATGGGGATCAACCAGATATTACTATTTAATATAGTAATATTATATACTATTTAATAGAAGTAATTGAATTTGTTATTATAACAAGAGAAGCAGCTTGCCTGTATTAATTTTAATTCGTTAAGTGCAGTTGATTATTCCCAAAATTTTTCGAAAACAATTATATTTGCTATGTTTGGACGACCAAAATAAAGAGTATAATATAAGCAAAAACAAATTTTGATAAAAGACCCGGTAGTTAGTAAATTTCTATTGATTAAAAATCTTTGTTCAATGGTACTGATATATCCGAATTATATATTTTTTATTAACAATTATTAACTTTTTATTAATTACGTAAAATAATTTTAAAAGTTTTACACATATGCGATTCTGTATTATGAATTTTCTATCCTTATAAATAAAGAAATAAAAAACATATATTTATAATTATACATTTATATATCAAATATTACATTAGATTAAATTTAATATAGAATATACATATTTTTTTAAATAATCTCAAATAATATTTAAAAAAAATAGCACTATAAATAGGTAGCTTTAAAATAAGAATATACATTGCAATATAGATTCAATAAACGTGAATTGGGAGTACAATTTTCTTTAAATATAATTTTTTATAAAAGATAATAAGTACTGATTTAACTAACTTCTGGGCTTCAAATGATCTTAATATGTAATACCTTTTACAGTTCTGCAATTAACAATTTTACATGTTTATGCACGCATTAAATCTTTAGTAATTTATTTCAATCTCTTGAATAATGAATATTGAAGAATGAATAATTAAAAATGATAAATAAACTGATAATGGTGTTTTACATAACTATAAGTTTGTAAGTTGTACAATAATATTCAGTCATCTTAATGCTGTGTCAGGTCCCTCCTCAATTTGCGTAATTCCATATGATATGTAATATAAGGTTTAGTGTAATGCCTAAAAATCGTATTACCGAATAATCTAGCCATTTTATATGTTCCAATGGACACTGTGATCTACTTTAATGACAAATTTTTTTGTAATCTCACGATCAGTCAAAACCTTTTGAAAATATTTTTTAATTGCAAACGAAAGACATTCGAGAAAAAACTCCATCAACTATTTTAATTAAATACAGGACATTCATTTTATTTATGACCATCTTTACCCCAAATCAAAGCGTGATATTCAACCTATCCGATCTTACATTCTATATAGAAAAAGAATTATGACAAGCATTTATGATGCTTGTAGTCATTTTTAAGTAAACAATTATAAAATATAAAAAATTTATGCCACATAAATATGTACCTTTTAACTGAAAATATTTAAAAAATTTATACAAAGGGAATCTGTACAAATCTGTGAAAATTTATACAAAGGGTCGAATAGGAAATCTGTTCTATAAGTCACACCGAACGCGAAAACATGGGTCATTCATAACTAGTTACAGCTCAATATTAATCCTTTCTCGAGATATGGCAATATATTCCATTGATATTTTAGTACCTTAATGCATTTGAAATTTAATGCAACCAAATAAATATTTATTCATTTAATACTGTTTTATGATGTTTTACTAATTTAGAAGAAAAAAATGTATATATCATATAAGATGTGTTCATTAGCCTAGTATAATAGACAGCTATTTTATTAATCTATAATAGATATTGAACTGTTCTTTTTACATTAAAATGTGGAACACTATTTTTTGCGTTATTTGAAATGTCAACTCCCATGTACATCAAAAATGAAATACCATAACAAAATTATCACCATTACTTATGATCCAATAATATAGATAATTGGTTTTCCTTTTAAATTATCAATCTAAACTATACAAAAGCTCGGATTGCCAATATAATTAAAGATTAATATTTTAATATATCATTTGCTCTGAAATAATTTTAATTCATAATATGTTCTTACTAAAATAAAAAATTTCATTATTATAATATTTAAAATACAGTAAATTTCAAAAATTAAACTAAATTGTTTAAATAATTATAATTAAAAATCTTAACATCTCTTTGATATATTAATTTTGTCTTATGTGTACCAATAAAATTATTTAATGGTTTTGATTTAAAATTATTGTAACTAACTATTGAAAAGATACTAACTGTCAAAAGGATGTCATTTAACTTGCAATTTCTACTGCAAACTTGAGGAATAACTCGTATTATAGTACATCCTGTTTGTATAATTCTCAGATCTCGGTTAAACATCAGATGAAATGGAAATGCTTGACAAAATGTTGCTGGACTCACTTTTGGTTCTTTAAAATAAATGATGAGAACATTATTAAAAGCGTGTTTTATTATATTAACTGATTAATACTAATCATGTTTTAAGTAAAAAAAAAATATATATATATATATATATATGTAGAACTAATTATTAATAAATATTGATTTAAGAAATTTATAATATTTATAAAATTGTCATATAAATATATATATTTTTTCATATAAATATAGATTAAAATTATTGAGATAAATATAAATCACTAATAAAGAATAAACTAATAAAGAACTAAATAGCGTAATAGAAAAAAAAACTGTTTATCAAAGAGAACAATTTATCCAACTATCTCCTAATATATTTGCTGTACCATTTTTAATTTATAAAGTAATAATGATAATAATATGAATATTTATTCATATACGACAAATAATATTCCAATAATAAAAATAGTTGCGAAAAGAAAATGAATATAACTTACCAACAGATAGACATTCAAGGTCAGTAATCGTTGGTTTAATAGCAATTCCAGGATATGACTGTTCAGTAATAAGGAACTGTACATGATCACATTCCACTTTTGTTTTCAATATTTGCATATCTATATCAGTGCCATGTAATTTCTTTGCTACCGTCTATTGAAAATCATACATATACTTGAATATAAGATAAATATATTAAAATACAACTGAATAGAACTAAATAAAATACTTCTTATATCAGTATTACATTTATAATTTTGAATATATATAGATATATATTTACGTATGTATTACAAATTACATATATATTCAAATACTTTTCATGATCATTAATAAAGCAGAATTCTATCAACACTAAATTCTTTATTTTATAAATGCATTCTAATGTTTTCTGTATGCAGTATAAGTATATATTTTTGAAAATGCTATTAAATATTTTCAAATAATATGTATAACTAATTTTGTATTTTGTAGATATGACTATCACTTGTATGAATACATCAACCATAACCGATTCGTAAAGGACAAAGTAAGACAGGATTGAGAAAATAATTTGTTCAATTTTTACAATAAAACCGATTATGAGTTTGACGATGGCATTGCATATATAACTAAATGGTATATATTAATAATAATACAAAAAATAATAATAATTGCTAGAAAATAATAACACCTGAAAATAATAACACCTGAAAATAATTTAAAGAAAATCTTTCAAAAAAAAGAATTTTGTGATCAATGTAAATTGCGAATTTAAAACGAAGTGTGGATATTTAACACAACTAAAAACATCCACTGAGTATCGGATGCAGAACATTCGTACTAAGAAGAGAATAATAATCAATTACTAAATTCATAATAAGATTGATAGATTCAATAAAGAAATTACATTTTTCCCTATCAATACAATTAAAACAAAACTCTTAATAATAATACGATTATGGTATCAAAGAAAGAAAACACAACAGGGTAGTTCAGTAGATGACTGCGAATTTTTGTTCAAAGTATCCTTACAGAAGAAATAAAGAGAAAGCGCAAGAGCGCACAGTTTACCCGACTAATCTGTCAAAAGCAAGGCTATAAGATCGTTTATGAGTCGAAAGTGTTTAAAAAAATAACTAATGTATTATTTCTTCATTTTATATTTTATAAATATCCAAGGATCATATCTTTTTGACATATTTTAAAATATTTAAATTTTAAAATAAATTTGTTTATTACTTTCAATAATTTCGAGGAAAATATTGTGTAATAAATACAAATTGTAATTTTCACAAATTAAGTTTTAAACAAACTTGTTTGATTTTGTTTAATCATAACAAAATTAATTATGAATTTGTTATAATAATAAATTAATGTTAATCTTGTTATTATTAAGAAGTTAATGAAAATTTTCCATTATTTTTATTTTATAGTAAGTTTTTCTCTTTTACAGTTTTATCAATTTGATGAACGGCTTAGTATGTACAATTACTTCAATTATCCAAATGATAATATTGACATAGATTGAATACCTCTTAAATAAGAAGAAAGTATATGAAATCTTTCGATGTTGAACAATGTCATAACATTCATTCGTGTTTCCATATGTAATTTACACCAATGCCATTAATGGAACAAATGCAGATACTGATTTATACAATGTGGACCATATTAATTGATGTTACCTAGTCCCTATCAATTTCAATAATCATAAAGCGGTAATGTGAAGTCTTTATAATGTTTTATCAAACTATTTTTTATATCTTATTCTGATAATCTTAGCAATCAACAAAGATTACCAGAGTAATCCGGTACCTGACTAAAATAAAAATGGAATTGCAAATAAAACTTAAGTAGATCAATAAAAAAAATCAATTCTGTATGCAACTTATATATCAGATTATTACAATACTACTGAAAATTGATCTTACAAAAATATTCATAATGATCAAAAGAAACAATCAGGAAAAAATTACTTCATAGTTATTTTAATTTTCATTGTGATAATTCATAAAGTTAAGTTTCCTTATATAGCGCTAAAATGTTATCGTTTTCCTCATGTTATATTATTAGAAATGGTTTTTCTATTATTTTTTAACTTCTTACGATTGTTAACATATCTGTCAATTTTACTTTCTAACTAATTGTAGTATGATGAAAATCCTGTTGTTTTTATTTAAGTTTATAATATACTTCTTTCACAATTTAAATGAATATTTTTATTCAATTATAATAAATTGAACGAAATATTTTATACTATATATATTCTATTCCAATAATATTAATTAATTTTATTTTAAAAAATTCAATTTAATTGTTCCCAATGCTAATGGGAATCAACAGTGAATAAAAAATAATTAAAATTAGATTAAAATTAATATTATAAAAAAATTAAAACCATATAAATGTTACCTTAACAATTCCAATAACAATATACTCCAACCCTGGGCGATCCGAGTAATAATGAAGAATAAGGGCTCCGTCTTCTGATCTTTCTGTGCACCTAAATGATGGTGCTCGCATCCCTGGATACAGAGTTCCCAAATGATCATGAAGAGCATCCAAATTCTTTAAAATCATATTGAAAAAATACATATTTATTTTTCAATAACCATAAGTGAATCCTATGAAAATATATTTTTGTATACTAAGAAAATGTATTTCAGATACATTATTTTATCTTTATTTTTATCTTGTGTTAAAATTAATCTGCATTAAAGGATTAGAAAACTCCTTCGTCTATATTCTAAAAAATACCTGCTAATTTTATTTTAAAAAATCACATATAGAATAAATAATACAAGAGCTTAACATATTTACATGTGGAGGCTTAATCAGTATAATTTTAAATATATAAATCAATGTTATGGTATAAATATTAGTAAAACATTCTAAACAATTACAAAGGATTTTTCATACAAAACTAAGAAATTATAATTATATAATAGGAAATGTTTTGGGAGAAGGAATTATACAATTACCTTAAATTTTATGAATATATATTATATTCTATTTTTTTTTATTATCGAAAAGAAAGTTAAAAATACAAATTAAAGTCAAAGATATAATATACGTCTATTTTTATTTGCTTTTTGATAAATACTTAAAACATAGAATTCGTGAATTTACAATAAATGCCATTATACTAGTTTTTTACGATTTTAAAAATAATTGTTTAATGAAGTTAAATTATGAAATTTATATTCCAACAATATTCAATATAATTTATAAAATTTTATTTTTTTTAATACAAAAATGACAAGTGTGCGTATAAGATTTATGTAGTGCATGTGCGCAAAACAAAATATTAGGATTTTTCACTCGCAAAAGGTACTGTATTTTATCCTGTTATTATAAATCGAAGTGAAATCATTGAAAAATTATTCCGTAATATATAGAAAGTATTTTATTTATTTTTAAAGGGTTACATACATTCGCAGGGCATATTCGAGCGACCTTTTACTTCCCACTCATCACTTCTTTATGATACGATCATAATAATTTACATATATTTATTCCTCTATTACTACTTTACATATGTTAGTTACTATATTTAATAAAAAATAGAAAATTATTGAACTTATTAAAATATACCTATTAAATGACAGTAATATTGTTGTTTATCACTGACATCGTAGATGACTTACCCAAGAGCAATGTTTTAAATGGTGGTCATAGGAAGACTTGAGTAAGAGATTTTTAATTTTATATACATGGTGTAACACAACCGTAATACTTATAAAACAACATTTGAAATGATAAAATAATACAAATTATAGTTACAAATAAATCCATGGAAGAAGTTTGCAGCGTTAATAATGAGATTTACATTAACCGTATATAAGCATACATGGAAAAATTAATTTTTCTTAAATTTAAAGAAAATGACAAATTAACTCAAAATTGTAATGTTGAATAAATACAGGGAGAAAAGGAAAAGTGAATATATTGGCTTTATTTTATTTGAATTATATCAATTGGCTATCGATTTCCTGACAGTTACGTTGTATTAGATATGTCAAAAATTAAAACATTTGTCCAAATACAAACATATTACATTTGCTTTATGCGAAAGCTAGCTTTAAGACAACACGTCTGCTGAATAAAGAAGCATGGCTAGGATACACAAAATACTTATAGATAAAGAAAAAATAGAATTGTAAGTTGATAGATAAGAAATATTTACAGTTTAATAATACTCAAGATACTCTTGTAAGTTTTATAAACTAAAACTAACAATAGGCTGTACAGCAATCCCGACAAAGCTGATTTTTTAACGGTTCAACATAATGTATTTAGAACGAGGAATAAAATTGCTAGCCTTCAAGAATAACCATATAAGAAATGATGTACATGCTTGTATAGTAAAAATATTATCAAGTGCCAAAGTACATGAAGATAAGAACCAGAAATGAGAAACATCAACAAAAAAAAAAAAAAATTGAACCCCTGTGGACATCACCAGCAGCAATCAAGCCAGAAATAACAGTCACCATGTTCCCACATTATACTACAGTTAAATTAACTATAAAAATAACACTCTGTACAAGGCTAATTTTTATTTAAAAATATATGGTAACATAAGTAGTCGGTAAAATACAAATATAAATTAATTACATAAAAGAAAATTTATAAAAATAGCCGGGTTACATACATAATTACATAAATATATTATAGACTAAATTGTGTATAAAATTGAGTGATAATTTGTTATATATAATTAGCAATTTTTAAAAATTTTATTATTAACATCTAGTGCTTACGATATTATTAACCTCTAATGTTAGTTATTAAATTCAATCAATTACTGGATAAAAGCGACATACTCTTTCGGTATGGGATACTTTAAATTACTGATTTACCAATATATAATATTTTATTTACGTTGAATTTTTTCTTCTTGGTATTCTAGTCTGCAGCTCATTAAATTTTTGCCATCATCAAAGGGGAATAATAAAAGTTTTTAAATTTTATATTTAACAAATCGTTGTAAGCATTAAAGGCTTTAAAAAAACAGAGACGGAATAGGAAGGAAAGAATTCGATATCACATCTGGTACATTAAATGGCTTCATTGGTCGTGTCTTGTCTGACTTATCTCAACCTACCGATTATACGTTGACGAGTAATGGCGATGGCTGAAGTTGACAAACTGGAAAATGGAGTCTGCTACTTCTCGTAACACGTCGAACGACGTGACCTCGACGAAGTTTATTTTACATCTTATCCTGATTGCCCCGACAAATGATGCGGCGACCAAGGGTTAGTTACACGCTGGTGGACAGACGGGACTATCGATCGATTTAGATCAACTAATCTGGAGTATGAGCCATGTGTACGACTATATATACGCTACGCATTAGGCATGTGCAGGAGTATTCAAGGCTCACTCCTTTCTGTACTTGATTTATTGTTCACCGAAGATACTTAATTTGTATACGCACTGCTCGCTATAACCAAGTATTATGTTAAATATTGCGTTTCGCAGTCATAATATGAATAACATAAAAGATCGCAATATTCGATATAGTAATGTATCAATCTATGTTTGCGGTTGCTTTCGTACTTCGGTCGCAAGTGTATTCAGCTGTTTTTCTTCCGTTACAAATTCAATTATAAAACAAAGAAGCAAATATAAATGCGATTTTGCACATACTTTTTTAATTTTTCTATAATGTAAAAAAAACTTTTTTAATTTAAATATTGAACTATTAATGTTGTATGACGTAAAAGAAAAAAGTGAAGAAAACAATTTTAAATTTTAAATTGAAAATTTTACTAAACAGCTTAAGCTTTACATGTATTGATTATAAATTTACCTAATAATGATATATATTAAATTTGTTCAAATCAATGCTAAAATACAAAAGAATTTTATTAAGAAAAACACTCGTAATATTTGTATTAAAATTCATGATAAACTCAAACATAAGTTTAACATACTTCACTCTAAGCCAATATGAATGTATCAAATAGGGCTATAACAAATAGTTATTTAATGTAATATGTATATTTATATGACATGATTATAATTTGTTTCTTTTAACACAGTTTATGAACTTGGCTTAGTTTCTTTATCATATTTAAAAAATATAGGATATAAATAAAATTAAAAAGCACGCCTGTTTGAAAATTAAAAGATCTCTAGATATAATTGACTAAATACGTTACTGGGTTAACTAGACTTCAAAATTTCAAAAATATGTATTTCGGATAATTCAATTCACTACGCAAAATGCGAGAATTTAATGGACTAGTTTAGGGTATCAAAAATTTCAGCAGAAAAATATATTTTTTGTAGTTATTTTTGTAGTTATTATTAAAAGTATATTTTGTCTATATAGGTTCGTACATCTTTCCTAAATTCTGTATTTTCATAAAATTATACAAATCAATTAAAGTAATTAAAAGTATTGAGTTTATTTATTCATAATTATTTTGTTACAGCTATATCTTTAGATATATAAATTACGTTCATAATAACATTATCAAATAATTGCAAAAATAAAAACTTTAATGTAATTAAATGAATTTATTTAAGAAAATTGAGTATTTGTAAATTTTTAAACAATTTGAGTAAAAAGACAGAAAATTTTACAAGAAAATTTTTTTTTTTAAATGAATGCTGTTTATTAGAAAATTATGAAATTTTTATACAATTGAAATTCTACTCCACTAAAATTTTTAGCTCATTTGAACAGAAACTTTGAATGTTATAAACTGTCATACCTGTAGAAAATCCCTTGGCGTAGCTCCAAGGACTTGAAGAATTTTATCATAGCCGGAATCTTGACAGAATTCAAAAAACATTCGACCAAATAGTTCAAGAATTTCATTAGCTGGTATATCTATAAATACATAATACCTTCCATTATGTTCCCATGTTATATAAATTATATTTATACTATTACTTTATTGAAATATACTATTTTAATGCTATTAATAATTCTATTAAATGAATGAATTAATAATAAAATAATTTACATGTATAAAAAATATTATGGATTTTATATTTTCAAGAAATCTTGAACAGTATCTTAAGTAAACAAATTTGTGAATGAACTCTCTTTTAGACTTTAATGATTCAAAAATTGTTTTAAACATATTTAATATTTAGAAAGGCTAGCATTGTAGAGTTCAATACTAAATTAAACATTCGAATAATTAAAATAAAAAAAAATTTAATACAATCTCAGTAAAAACTAAATTTAATTTATTCTATGCCTCGTATCACATTTTAACTATTTCTTTTTAGACATCTCTCTCTCTCTCTCTCTCTCTCTCTGTCTCTTCTATCTATCTATCTAATTCTCTTTCTCTGTGTATGTACATACGTATAAATAAAGAAAAAGGTTTTGTGATAGTATGTTTCTCAGCTAAATAAACTACTCGATTAAACAGTTGTAACCAATTAGTATTATTCAGGATAATGAATTAGCTATTCCAGTCTTTTGGCAAAATATGATCGGTTTTCTTTATGTTTGTAAAATATAAAATTATCTATATTTGTAAAACTCTAATATTTTCCAAGTATCCTTACTAGCATGAATGCTTTTATAACAGAATAAATGAGATTAGTATTTTAATTGTACGATTAAAGATTTTGTAATGTTTTTAATACATACTGAGTCGGTTAACAGCAGCAGCAATAATATTGTACGTAACTTCATCATCATAAATTTGGCGTACTAAGAATTGGCCTTCCATGTTGACAGATGCATCCTTTCTATGTAAACAATGATAAGTTTTTTTTTATCGATATACTATTGATAATTAATATAATAAAATTACGTAGCTAATATTAAAGGGTAAAAATAATTCTTTTTATATTAAAACTTATTTGGGAAACATAGCTTCTACAAAAGAATTGAATTTACTAAAAGTAATAATATTCAAAATTTTATGATAGCTTTTAACAAAAAGATAAGACAATATAAGTATTAATTTTTGTAATTAAACAACAATAATTACACATAATATTATTGATTGTATGAACAATATTTATAATCTATAGATTTAAATACTTAATTTAAAGTACGTAAAACATATTAAGATATTTAATACAGGTACCAATCTATTTTTTAGTAGTATATTGTGTTTTTATTTGACAAACTTTATAACTTTCTCAAGTATTAAAAAATTATTGTTGAAATTGTACCCTCATCCATTCAATATATTTTCGTAGATACGAATAATGTAGTCTTTACATTTTTTAATACTTTTTAAAACATCCTGTTAAAAATAGTATAAAATTCTACCTAAATTAATGTTTTACATACAACTTAAATATCTCTTAATTAGAATTATAACATTCTTCAAAATTTTTAATACAGTTAGTTATTATGCATATCCTATTATTTAATATAAAATCTTCTACAATATAAAATTTATTAACAATACATTTAGATTTATTGAAAAAATATTGATTTATTTTGATATTATGAATAATAAATAATGAAATTTAAATACTTATTTTCTATAAATTTTAAAACAATATTGTAAATGACAAATCTATAATGCATTTTTCAAGCGTTATCTTAATTATTTAAGTTCTTTTTTATTTTATTTTCTTCAACTTTTATTTATGTATTTCTACTATTTAAATTGTTACATAAAAAAATTGTATTAATCAATTCAAAATAAACTATCTTAAAATTTTATAATATTTTTTTAACTAACTTAAAATAAAATTTTAATTAAAAATACAAGTAAAACTCAATTTAAAATAAAATTTAGAATTCAATGGAAAGATAAAATAGTCATTTAAATTTTACAAAAGGGACCTTACATTTGAAGTTTTTTATTATAATATTATACATTAATTTTAATAATGCTAACTAATAAAAAAATTAGAAAATGTTTGAAAACTAAAGTCATATGTATTAAAGAAAATGTATTAATGGAGAATATTACTTAAGTAATATTACTTATGCAGATATGTAAGTGTACATTATGTACACTAATATACATTATGTACATTATATACACATTATGTATGTACATTATAAACAATCTCTTTTTAATTAATATGTTCATTTAATATATATAATAAAATTGAAAATACTACTTTCTAAGAAAAACTTTGAATTATACAGTTTCTTTATAGCAGAATAAATTAGATTTGTTTTATTATATTAAAACAATAAAATGTTCTTATTTACTAGTTCTTATCAACCTGACATTATATATCCGTTCTAAAAAATTAGCTTCAAAATCTAACAAATATTTATAGTAAAATAATCATTTAAAATAACAATTTATTAACATATTATTTTAATTTTACACAATTTTATCTAAAAAATTTATTGAAAACCTCTTACATAATTTTTACAGGTATAATTATACATATATGTTATTATTGACGGAATTTATGTAAACTTATAAACGGTATTTATGTAAATTTTTACATAAATACTACATATGTAAAAGTATTAAAGTTTTGTATATATAGCTTCAAAAAAAATTTTCATCGAGTTTGTTACATGTCTAATGTAAAAAATCAGCTTTCACATAGCAAATATTGCTTTATACAAAAAGAAGTTGAAATTTTAGAAATTTCATTTGTATTAATACTGATTTCAGTTATGTTTTTAAAATATCCACTCTCTTATAGATAAAATTTAATGTTAAAATTAGTTATTGAATTCCTTAAGAAATGAGAAACATGAAACAAGAATAAAAGATATTCTCTCCCAAGTTAAAAAATAAAATAGAAAATTAAAGTTTAAATAATAAAATAAAATACTACTTTTTATATTGGTATAAATTTAAATTCGACCAGTTGTGCATTTAATGCTTGTACCTGCAAAAATGTATAATGGAGGGATATATATTTGATGATTTATTCATTGATTTTTTTATTATATCAATTTAGTCTTTATGTCAGTTAAAACTCTATAAATTTATGTACTGTGATAATACTTTACTGCCTTTTAGTGATTTAATATTGTATTAAATTGTCATCCTTTAAATAACTTTCTTTGATGTTCAAAACGAAATAGCATTAAAAATATTGAAATATGGAATAGAGAAAAAATTCGAAATTATCGGTTAAAAATAATCTTATTTTATTCAAAGAATACCTGTTGATAATTATAAGACATTAAAAAGAACTATGAAGCTTCATACTGATTCTAATGCATTGTGTTTCATAATAATCATTGAACTTCACTAAATAAATTTTAAAAACTCACTCATAAATTCATTTATTTATCTTATAATTATAACTTTACTTTATTAACGTAAATTTAATTCAATAATATTTAAGTAAAACGTCGATATTCTTATTTGAGTCATTTTTATATTTTTATATTTTTGTATATATAAAATATATTTCTTGTTGCACAATGCACAAGTATGCATCTATTGCATTTTACTAACTATATAAGACTATTAATTATATCTTAGCAGAAATTATGTTTATATTTTATTTTAATGGTAATGCAGTACATTATATACATTGTGAATCAGATTGGGCAATGTTGATATAGTAAATTCGACAGAAGTATAAATTATAAAGAATTGTGATTAATCTTTTTATAATTACATACATTTATGAGTACAAATTTGTTTCAACAGTATTTATAAGATAATTATAATATCAAGATCATACGCTTTATTTTATAATCAGATAAACTAAAACGAATAGTTGATTTTATTTATTTAATATGTAAATTTTATATATTGATTCAGCCATTAAAAACAAAAAACAGAAAATTATTCTCTGAAATATGTTTGAAATTTCTCAATTGAATTTTATTTCAATTGAAAAATAAAGAATGTATCCTTTTAAAAAATGAATACGTTTTTAAAGTTATTAAAATATCAAATAAATTTAAAAAATTTCATAATTATATTTGATACATATCAGATTTAGAGATATAAGCTATAAGAATGTTAAATTAATATCAATGTATAATTGTATAATTATATTCTGCCTTATTACACTATTTCTTTCGACTGAATAAAATATTAGAAATTAATAATTAGCATATTTAAATATTGTTGAATATTTTAATTTAAGGCCTTTTAAAAATAAATATTGTAATATCAAATATCAAAAGATAAATTTATATCATAATATTTATTTTTGAAGTTTAATTTTATATAATATTAAAATTCAATTAAATATATTGAAACATAAATATTTTTCATTTTATTTAAATAATATGTTAAGTTAATTAGGTAAAAATTAAAAAATTAAGATAGCTGAAGTATCAAATTTTGTGAAGGAAAAAAAATTAGTGGTTACACATAAGTAATTTCTATTATTGTCAAAAATTTGCAAAATTCAATAAAATCGACACGAACATAAAAATATTTTTTTAATCAGTGAATAACTTACTTTATATCTTCCCATGTTTCGTTACCGAATGTCTTCACTACTAAAAGCTCTAAAGCATAATTCACAAAACCGTACTGCAAAGAAAAAAATGTTTAATTTAACAATTAAAAATGAGATGATAAAGTGTAATTTTTGTTATTAAAAGAAGCCTTAAGAGAAACCGTATATTAATAAAAATATACACTTATATCTCCTCCTAATTTGAATAATAATTGCATTACGTACCATAGTGTTTGAATACAATCAAATTGTTACTAAATTATTAATCTTGATAAATGTTATTAACATACTACCGATGTATTGTAATTATCATTTATAAAAAAGAGATGAAGAAACAACAGCGATATTTATTTCTTACACGCGTAACGTGAACTGCACAGGTAGCAAATTCATTCAATACAGTGTTAAGTATCGATTTTCTTCGGCGACCTCACGTACAATCCAGTAGCGCCGTCTGTGTAAAAATTGAGAAATTCGAGACTAAAAAATGAGAAGACACTTGGTACTATCAGTACTTGATAATATCAGTATATTATCGTGGGTAAACTATAAAATAATTTTAATGATAAAACAAGCTAATTGTTGATCATTACTTCTTCACTATTTTACAAATATTTTATAATATTTCTTTTATCACAAATAATCTAACATAAACTTAATTCTATTTAAATAATTTGTAGCCACATTTTTTATTTAACACATTAACAATTATTTATAATATAATTCGAAATTATTATTAATTAGCAGCGTATCAAATTAAAATATTATTAATTTATTATCAACAAACATGTATTTAAAAACAAAAATGTATATAAAACTGATTTTCACTAAAATTTTAACATATGTATATGTTAGTGTAGATATTAAGTGAATAAATATTATATTTGTGCTTACATAGAAATTATTATAATTTTTTATTCTAAAAGATATTATATATATATATATATATATATATGTATATATTTATTTATTTATTTATTTTGAATTTTAATTCCACTTATAAATTTGGTTAAAATAAACAATTTTTAATAACCATAAAACAAAGAAATCACTTACCAACTTTTTTAAATATCTATATTTTGTAAATATTTTTTAAATTTATAAAATATAGGATATTGAAATATAATAGATATTATGGGATATATAAAATATTTAGAAAAATCTTTTCTACATAAATTTTAATGAAATAAAGCGTAAAATTTTTACTAAAAATACACGTAAAAAATACATTACTGATTAAAAAAAATTAAAATAAATAATATTTTAATATATTAGCTTGGTTATTTTATTATAATGCATAATATAATATTCTTTAAGCTTTTTAAATATTTACGAAATATTTGTTTAAAACATGTAGATCAATTTGACATTAAATTGATTTGATGTAGATTATATATAAAATTCAATTTAATATTTAGCATTCTACATATAATTTTTAAAAATAGATAACCTCAACATTTATTGATAATAATAAAACTCACGATTAATAATTCATATTGGATTTATATAAAGTTTAAATATTACACTAACTTGAAAGCTTATGAAGAATTACAATAAAATTACGATAAAGTGAAGAGGTTTAATGCTTGATAATCAACTAAATTTAGACCACGGAAATGTTTGAAGATAAACTTCAAATCTAACATAAATTAAAATTAACTTAAAATGTAGTATCATAAGTAATGTCATATTAACTCTAAGTAGTAAGTAATCACTGTCATATTATCATGATCTTATGTATATGCTATAAAATTATCTCAGCATTAATGGCCATTTTAATATCCATTATCAGTTTAGGTTTATAAAGTAACAGCTATTATCAACAAAAATCTATCTAATGCATACCTACGTGAAATGTATAACTTAAAAAAATTTGTATATTTGACTAATGGAAAGTTGTGATAAATCGGGATATTTTTAATTATCAATAGTATCATCAATAGCTAATTATCAATAGTAAAGGTCACCTCCATTAATAGATAAAAAATTTTATTGGTATGAAATTTAATAGTAGAGGAAAGGCTTAATAGAACCTTATACAAAACCGTATACTAAATAGTACAACAAAAATAGATGAACAATTACAAGGAAAACTGTTTAAAAATCCAACATAACATAGAAGATATATTCTATATTATGCAGACATACATACACACATATATATATATAAATATGCACATACGACAAAAAGGTTATATTTAAATATATAACAAACACATCTACAAACTCACATACATGCATAAATATACAATTAGAAGATTTCAATATTTTAAATTTTAACAATAATTATTGCAATATACGTGTGCGGATCTATGTGTGTACGTTTATTTATATATTTAAATATATTTTAAAATTTTATACTAAAATTTTTATTTTATATTCAATTATACTTTATTTGATATTGACTAATTTTAAATTATTTAATATAGCTAATAAATAAATCATTTTGGTTAATAATCTTAGAAGAATTTACTTATTAATTATATATCTTATCGAATTATTTATCATTGTTCATAATTGTGCAAAAATTAGAGATTAATAAATGTTAATATTAGTTTACGCTAATACATTAGAATGACAAGAAAAAACTAATCGTTAAGTACTATGAAAGTATAATTTTCTTTATACAAAAATAATAATAAATTAATTACAAATGAAAGATTAATGGTTCCCTTTATTTAACCACTAAACTGAAAAATTAAAAAATATTTATTACTGTTTATCATTTATATAACAGTGCAATAAGTATTTTTCTTCAATTTGTTTAACTTTTAGATTTCAATGTTCATTATAAACTTCCTGGTCGAAAATTATCAAGATTCAAAAATTTTGAAACCCTTCCAATAGATTTATGTTACTTATAATATTTTTATTTTATAAAGTTATATTCTTTTAAATAATTTTCAAAATCTAAAATGTATTAAGTACATGAATAGTATTAAAGACAGGATTATATTATTCATTTTATATATAAAAAAATATTATAAAGCGATAATATTTTTTAAATAATTGTAATTTTTAATTTTCGTAAAATTTTTAATAATTTTTTATCATGCTGTGTTAAAAAACAAATCAATCACTGGTAGAAACTGATGAAGTAAACATCTTTTTATAAAAAAAAAAACAAAATGTAATAATGTTTTTAAAATTTTACATTAATATATAAAAATTTCAATTAAAAATTATTTCATATATAATATAATGATTATTAACTTTATTCTAAAATTACTATTATAATGGTAAAGTAATTAATATTAATTAGCTTAATCATAATTCTTTTGTATCAAATAATAAAAGTCTTAAAATTAGTTTAGTCCTAAATCTTTTGTACGTAAATTTATGTAGAGATATTTTGTATATCAGGTTAATTATACATTGTTTTTAAAAATATTATGTATTTAACCATCATTTTTAATACTAATTTAATTTAGTAGCTATATACAGAGTATAGATATTATTGACAATTACTTAAAGTAATTTTGATATAAACTTAATATATTTAAATTGAAAGATTTACATTTAATTGATACGTCCTATGTGTTGTACACCATCTATTGATTAGGCTGACCTAAATTGAATATTACTACTATGTCAATCGGTTTTGTATATTCAATGATATATTATGTGTGCTCAAGCCTTAGTAATACGTTTATACTTGCATATTTGCTGTGAGGTATATAAATGTAGATATTTGTAACTTTAATGACTTGATTAAAATGCCTGATATTCAAGAGCGATTATAGAATTTTTTATACATTATAAATGCGTAAATTCAATTAAGTATTTATTATATACACCAAACCCCTGAAAAAAGACACCTTCTACTTAAAATATTGCATAAAATAGTTTCGCAAAAAGAAATGCTCTTTGAAAATTTCTTGCGGCTATAAAATAAATAGTATGCTAATAGGAATAAATGCATACAGATATTAAAAAATAGTTTGAGATTTCATGAAGGAAAATTAAGAAAATTAATTGTTCGATCGTGATTTAAATATATAATAATATACACGTGAGTCAAATAGCATGCTTATAATTTTTTTTTGACTTTGGTTTTTAATTATATTTTTGTTTATATTTAAATAAAATAAAAGTCTAACATTTTAAAATGCATGAAAATCATTACTAAATAACTCATGGATTTATTAAACATAATTTTTCTTACATTTAAGTGAATTGATGTTTTCTTTATAAAAAAATCCTTTCTTGACAAATGAGATCACATTACTTTCAATATTATATAAGGAATGATGGTTATATAAGGAAATATAATTATTTCCGACAATTGTTTTTGTATTTTTTTTAAAATATAAATAATTTATTTGTAAAATTTTAATATTTACAATTACAATTAAATTTATAAGAAAAATAACGATAAAAAAGAATAAATCAATTAAATCTGAAAGTTTTTTATTTATTTATAATTTATACAAAATATGTAAAACGCAAATATTTAGAACATGTAATTTAGGAAAACAAGATATACCAGTATCTTCTCAATTCAAGAGAAATAAGTAAAACGATTGAAATCTTGAAATTTTCTATAATCCATTAGTCTAATGTATTGGAATGCATTATGGAAGACATCAAGAAATATTAAAAATATGAAGATAATTTTATTTTTATTAATTTTCAGCACCGTTGGTTTTTTTATATCCGCTGTTATTATAAACGTATAAAAGTAATATTTGATTAATAGAATAATATTTAAATAGTGGCAAATTTAAAGAAAAGAAAAAAAAATTTCTATATATATATATATATTTAACTACATTAAAATATAATAACATAAAATTCAAAATGATGATTATAATATTACCAATGAATGACAAGTTTTTCCAAAATATAATTATTAAACCTAACGCATAGTGCCGATTAACCTTTCATTTCAAGTGTGTAATAAATAATCGATGAATATATCTAAATAGCTTAATACATAGTAATACAGAAAAAATGCAACTTATTCAGTATTAATTATGAATCAATATTTGTTATTAGAGTTTATTAACGATTTTTACTATAAAAAATAGTTTCATTCTATTACCAAAGAAAAAAATTTATTGGAAGATATACCATTAAAATAATTGAATAATTAATTACCTTGCTAATTTTCGAAATTTTTTAATTTTTACGATTTCATAAATCCTATAAGTTTCTTTTAGCTCAAGAAAGACAACTACAACTCAGAAAAAAGAAATGATAATGACGATGACAATGATCGATATCCTACTAAGGCTTACAATATATTAGACATGTTCCACAATACTATATTTTATACAATGCTCATTATCATATGAAAAAT